CGCGGCCCTTCCCCTCCCCGCCGCCGCCGCGTCACCGCGCCGCGCCGCGGAAGTGACGGCGCCTGCGCGACGGGTAACGGCCGTGGCGGGGCCGTTAACGGCCGTGGCGCCCTCGCGCYTTTCCCCGGGGCTATGCGGGCCTGGCGCAGCCTGTGGCGGCGCGCCGCGGCGCCCTCCGCTCCCTTCCCCTCGTTCTCCTCTCTCCCCGGCGGCGGGGAGCGGCGGCGCCGCGCCTGGGAGGCGTCGCTGTCGCCGCTGGAGCGGGTGAGGGGGCTGCTGGCCCGAGAGGAGGCGGCGGCCGTTACGGATGTCGCCCCGGTGCCCGTTGCGGACGCCGCCCCGGCGGCCGGCAGCCCCCTGCGCGCCGGGGAGCTGGCGCTCGTGGAGCTGAGTCGGCGGCAGCGCGACGCCCTCAAGCTGCTGTGCCGGCTGGCGGCGGGTGCGACGCTCGCCATCCCCGGYGGCCTCCTGCCGCACGACGACATCGTGGGGCGGCTGCCCGGGCAGCTGGTGCGGACGGCGGGCGGACTCAAGCTGCTCGTGCGGCGACCCTCGCTCGAGGAGTATGCGCTGCTCATGACGCGGAGCGCCACCATCGCCTACCCCAAGGTAGGGGCCCTTCCTCTGCCGCCCAKGCTGCGGGATGGCCTGTGCCAGCCCCTTCCTGCAGGCCGCTAACGGGCTGTGCTTTGTACCCCGCAGGACGTGAGCGCCATGCTCACCATGATGGACCTGCACCCTGGGGACACCGTGTTGGAGAGCGGCAGTGGATCTGGTGCTCTGAGCCTGTTTCTGTCAAGAGCGGGTAAGGTCTTGGATTTTGCAGGCRAAGGAGGAGTGCGTTTCTCCCATCACTTGTGGCCCTTCTGTTAATCAAAAATCGGAGGTTGTTTTGTTAAATTTTGATGCAGTTTTCATATTCAGGTCAGTTCTGATGATTTTAGATCAGTGTGGAGCCAGTACTCAACACACTGTTTCAAYACTGTTTTGAGGCCTCTAGTACAGAGAATCACTACAAGCCACCATCACTGAAACTACGTATCTGAAAGTGCCAGCCGTGGTCACTGTAGAAAATTGCATTTCAGTGTCTGAGGCTTTGGCTTAAAGTTAGCTTTTTTTCTTCCCTTTCCCTGCTTTTCCTAGTTTTCCTCATGTTGCTGTACCACATGAATAATGGAATTGTTGATTTACTTGGTGAAAATGGCTATGTGGATACCCTGTTGCTTTATGTTACACTCATTCTGATTTGATCTAGGTGCTCTGAAAGGTAGAAAGCCTTTGCACCGCCAGGCCATGCTGTCCTGCCTTACACTTGCACCATCTGACTCTTTTAGCACTTGATTTGGATAGCTAGCCTTCCCCAAAGTTATTATTTTCCCTGGAGATTAAACTTGATATCAATCCCAGATTGAAAAAAAAAAAAAAAAAAAGAGAAAGAAAAAAGAAAAGAAAAACCTCATTCTTTTGTGGGAGACAAAACTAAACAAATCACTTTCTTTGGCTTAAGACTGTTAAATAACCTTAGAACTAAAAGTAATGATTTTTTATTTACTCTTCCATTTAGCAATGCTCTCTAGTCTTTTCATATGTATTAATAACAGCACAAGTTCTTTTTAGCAGAATGCTTTGAGGAAGCTTAGTATTCAGCAAATATGTTACCAAGGCCACCATCCAATGGGATGCCAGGATGTATTACTAAGGATAAAAGTAAAATTAAGAATATGTATGCTCAATGGTACACACTAGAGTGTACCATTCTGAAACATCACAATAATAAAGGATTTTGTCCAGCTATTTTAATTGCTTGTTCTTATTTTCTCAAAATTCAAWTTCAAAATATAGGAAATGAAAAGGGAAGAGATGTGCAGAGGAAGCAAGAAGATTTTACTCTGTTCCCCAATGATTTGTTTCTTCAAACATTTCCAAAGTTATAATTCTTGAGTCATAAGGAATCGGCAATTCTACAACTCTTTAAGGTGATCTAGGAAGGCACTACTGAAATCCTGCCTCCTTACCCTGGCCTCTGATCAAGAGTGAGCAAGATCAGATAAAATTGGCAGAAAACCCATTCCTGCTTTTGCTGTATTAGTTTTTTGAATGGATTCACAATGGAATCAAGTGAGTAATAGGGAAGAAATCTGGTAGCCCCAACTTCAAATGGCTTGAAAATATCCAGAACCTTATCTGCAAAATAACACAAGTCTGTGTAGATCAAAGAGCACATTKGAGAAACTTGAGATCAGTTAACAGATTGTGGCAGTTCTTATCCTTTCCTCTACCCTAAGATGGGAAAGACAGGACAAACTATCTATAGAAAATAACCAGCTTCTGTAAAAATAGGTTTATCAGAGAATTTCTAACTGCCACTTYTAGAAGTAAGCAGCAAGAGGACCARTCAACTGTCTTACCCACTCCTAACTCCTGCAACTGGCAACCTACAGTGCAGCCTTCTCAGCTGCCTGCTCTGATAGATAGAGCAGAAGGCTACARATTAATTGGGGTCCAGATGCTCAAGTCATCTCTACTGCAAGAGGTGCTCTGGGAGGACATCCTAGGAACAATTGGGACTAAAATAACTATGCTTTATTCCATCTGTGGATTGGTGGATATCAGTCTATAAAACAATTACCCAGCACTTTGTCTACATGGGTTTGCTTTAAATGTAAATAAATAATAAATTGCAACTGATYATATGTAATTATTTCTTGAAGTGGAGATTTAAACATATACAACCTCTGTCACTTACTATGCTGCTTTTTTTCTAAATCCTTTACTACACATGGGGGGAAAAGTAGTAAATTTGGTATGCTGTATTTATTTGAAGTTGGATCCAAAGGACGTGTCCTAAGTTACGAAATCAGAGAAGATCATCACAGTTTAGCTAAGAAGAATTACAGGCAGTGGCGTTCTTCATGGGAGATAGGACATATGGAAGAGTGGCCAGATAACGTGGATTTCATTCATAAGGACATTACAACTGCTGCTGAGGATATGAAATCTGTAACATTTGATGCAGTAAGTCCAAAAAATCCCCACATCCATGACACAAATTGACATTTTTCTTTTTACATAAATTTAAATCTCTTATTTCCCACTTGCAATGGAAATTCCCATGTGTAGTTTATCTTGAGCAAAAACAATCAGATCTTCATCAAGAAAACACTGCGGGGTTTTTCTTCATCTGATTGTGCTATAAGGATTTTTGAAAAGTTTACCTATACTTTCCCAAATGGAAGGATGACAAGTCCGTAATGTAGAAATATTGCAGTTCAGTCACAACTGATTAGCAAAGACATACTTGTTGTATTTTGGAGACATATACCTCATCAAATAAAAATCTTTCTCAAACATTAGGAAAAGTACATAGYTTTATTGAAAATATTTATATGTGAACACTTTAATGTCAAGTACATAGAGTGTATAATGTTAGTACGGTCTGCATTTGAGTAAGGGATGCTACAGCCAGCTCTCCTTTTTATATCCTGATTTCATAGAAAGGAGGTGTGTTGGCAGAAACAACTGGGAAGTATCACTCCCATATAAAGAAGTCAATCTAGTTGTATTAACACTTCAAACAAATGACAGTTATGTTAAACAGGTTGAGTAAAGAAAGAAAACGGCTACTGTAAAAATAACATCTTTGAAATTTTACATGTAACAATCCAGAAGAAAGATTAGACGCCACATCTTAAACTGTTCTACTGTTTGAATAGGTTTCCAGCAGATGCAGGTAATACTAAAGACAAAAGTTTTCTAAGCCCCAGAACAAACAGGAAGTTGGACGCTGACACTTTGGTATTGTCTTTTCATTATAGGGAAGCATCTGAAGATCTTTTTTATCACTTGAAAAGTAGACACCCGAAGATGCTGATACATGTTTATATTGTTTTTCTATAGGTTTATAGTAATCTCAACTTAAGGAGTTCAATTATTGGGAGTTTTTAAGTTAATACAGAACTACAATATTGGCCCAATGTGACTTGCTCGTTTAATAGAAATTCATTTGCAAGTAAGCATGGACTTTGTTTTAAATATATGAACCTCACATTTCCATTAGATCTTCAAAGACAGGACTAAAATCATGTTGGCAATAATACACTGCTGTTGTATGCATTCATTTTCCATATATAAACATACTGTTTGGAAGTGGTGTTATTATGGAAAACTTGATATATGTGTTAAAGCTTATTAGAAACATATACATCTTTCTCTTGCAGGTAGTTCTGGATATGCTTAACCCTCAAGCTGCTCTGCCTGTTATACGTCCAAGTCTCAAGCATGGCGGTGTGTGCGCTGTTTATTTAGCAAAGTAAGTGTTTAATTCTGGCATTTACAAATGTAATCAGGCATCACCTAAAACTGTTAAAAAAATCTTTAAAAATATACAGCTAACATTAAATGTTTACCAAAACATTTAACAAAAGTGTTTTTTTAAAGGAGCTGTACTTGGTATAAGTTACATTTGACTATAATCTTTACTTAGGGAACATTCTCGCTCTGGACAGTGGAAGTTTTCAGTTAATCACATCTCCAAAATAATTGTATATTGTTTTCTAATTCAGTAGTCAGATTTCCAGCTCCTTTTCCCTAAAACTGAAGGACTCGGTAAAGAATATGACAAAGGCAACAATAATCAGATCAGCAATTGATCTTTCGATTTCAGTTTTCAAAATATTGCTTTATCCTTTGCATTTCTCCAAAAGCATCACGCAGGTTATTGCCCTTTTAGACAGAATACGGATCTGCAAGCTCCCTTTTTTGTGTGAAAAGATCATAGATGTAACACACAGAAAATGGTTAATAATCCCTGCTAAAATCAAGAATTCCAAGTCAACGCAAATAATGGAAACTCAAGAAAATACTGAGGAAGAACCTCAACAGAAAGAACAGGAAGAAATCCATTTTCAGGATCAAGCAGTTCTCAGAGGAAGTGAATACGATGGTGAGACCATTACTGTTAATGAATTACACTTACTGCAATGTGATAGTCTAAGGATAGAGTGAAAGCACAAGTTTATAGGAGGAGGCAGTCTCTTTTCTTARATCAGCTAGGATAATCTCATGAAGAACAGACTAAATTTTAGAAAACCTTTACTTCAGCAGGTTTAAAAAAAGAATGTATTAATGGCTCTTTAGAGATCTTATTAAAAAATCTAAACTAAAAAASAAATTATGGTCTATAAATTAAGAATGACTGTATTTATTCCTGTTCTTAGCTACTTTTTATGTATATAAAATTCATTCATCCATACTCAGCCCATTGCTGCTTTAAAGGATGGTCATGGGTTTAGGATTTCATGGAGGGCATGATACCCATGTGTTTTGTTTTGTAATCTTTTGTTTTTGCTATTCTAGCAAATCCAAAATATACATGTTGTTCTAGTATAGATTTGTATATATTACAGCAAAAAAGGGATAAGAAGACAGTTTAACAAACAAAAAAAAAAAACAATGAAAAGATAGCAAGGAAAAGTAACACACCWTGATAACTGTAGTCTGATGTCTGTAGTTTTTAAAGCTGTTGGAAATATTAAAAAATGCRTACTTTTCACAGAATCGCTTTCTGACAATGCTGAAACATGCTCCTCAGTGCCTTATGTTGCTAGACCATCTTATTGGCAGGATTCTCATTCAGGTGAGAAGTTTGGAAAATATTTTTTGTTTTTATCCTAAATATTTAGTAGTATTTTATTTTCAGAAATGCTATCTTTGTGCCAGCATTTGACATGTTAGTATAAGTTTTATGGTTTCATTATATCACAATAAATTATTGAATATTGAAATACTGAAGWAGTGATATGTTTTGTTCTTTTTAATTAGCGTTCCTCACCAAGCTGAGAAAGTTTCAACCACCACTTTCTTGATGTTGCTAAGATATCAGCTGCTAATTGGGTATTGTATTGGAATAAAATAAAACATCAGAAAATGACCACTGTGTTTTGCAAATTGTTTAACTTTTAAAGAGTTACTGCTTTGATTTCTACCGCATATGAACTTTGACATCCCATGAACAATTTGAAGGAGAAGTTTTAACAGAACCTATCATGTATGATTGGTGCACAAAGAACGGAATTTCTGTTTCTGTCTCATTTGATGTATCTCATTCTTCATTTCTTGTAAACCATTCCATGGCTTTGTCTTGGTTCAGGGTGCTACCTCGTCTCCTTTTGTTGGACAGACTATGATTGTCTACCAGAAATTAGGAAAAAAAAATATTGGTAAGAAAATAATTGATCAAATTCTGCTCTTTGAAATTTAAGGGAAACAACTTCTAACTTCTGATGTGGCTCAATTCCTTTAAGAAATAGGTTTGCCCTACTGTAATAGAAACTGAAATTCACTGAATTTGCGCTTCTTGATAAAGCTGTGTTGATTTCAATAAGGTGACCAGTTGCTGACTGTGAAAGTTTTGCAGTTGTGAACTTCATTTTGAACATTTGAGAATACATATACATACTGAACAAAATTTGTTTTGACCTTTGTCAGATGTAAAATGCAATAGCTCTCAAAGGACGTTCAAATGAAAACTTTTTATGGTTGAAAGGGATCCCTTTGGGATCACAGTTGTATTGAAGCTGTCGATCAATAAAAATAACACAATCCTACTATAATAATAAAAAGTTGCATATAAAATAAGGACATATTCAAATACAAAATAGAGATGTAAATTAACTATAACCATTTAATATCTCATACTGAGAATTTTATACTGGTTGAATACCTGTATAAATCTTTGTGGAACTGAGGCCTTAAACAGCTCCTCCAGTTAATTTATATCTGAAGTCTTTTACAATCTTAACAGTAACATAGTTAATTTTGCTCAATAATTACTCCATATAATAGAGGCTTCTCATAATGAAGCTCAGGTGACTAATTTTAAGTAGCCTTATGTGCAGAGTTTCTATTGCATTATATAATTTTTAATGATAAACTGTTTTTTTCACTCTTCAAGCCCAGCCACAAAAGATCTAATACAAATGCTGTCCAAGACTGAGACGCATGCAAACAGCCGATTTAATAACAAACTAACGATAGTAGTTGAGGAGCTTGCCCTTTCTCAAAACACCACTCACATCAAGGATCTTCTAATTCGTGTGACACACAGTTATTTTACTGTTTCTTCTAACCAATCCTAACTATTTAAAATACAAATTATGTTTAGTTTATAATGGAAGAATGCAGATCAGGGTCTAATCTAGAACAGATTCCAAAACCTGCTAGAGTAGGTGAGGATAATTTGAACAGACTCAGGCAGACCAAGGCAGTAGGTACTTGTCGGAAGTCAAAACTGACAAAACATGAAAAAAGTGGATTTTTTTTTTTGTGAAACAAGACGTATTAAAACAATTTGTTTTTGCAAAAATGACTTCAGATATGATACCAAAGTATCTGAGCCTGTTGCCTCTTTACTATAAAAATTTACCCAAAAGGATGAGTAACACACAGCCTACATGTAAGCAAAGTTAATTGACTACATGCTGATACTGCATCATTAGCCATAAACTAGATGTTCTCGCGTTTTATTGTAAATATAAAATCACGCTGGTTCCTTTCACTTTTCACCAATTCAGTAAAGAGTTAGAACATTTGGGAAGCTAACAGCCTTTCTCAAACATTATGATTATGCCCAAGGAAGTACACCTGTGAAGTTTTTTCTCACTTTCCTTTTGGTTATAGATAAAGCAAGAGAAACAACAGAAAATTCCACTATGAAAGGGAAGGGGTATCGGAGAGTCACACTGTATAAATGAAACAATCTGTGGCATTAAAAGCACAGTTTCACCAAAGTAACTGCATTCTTAAGGGATTTCTGATAACACAGACTTTGTATTTTGACATACCAAGAAGGACTTAACAGTCCCTTCAGAAGTCGAAAGGGCCAATTTGCCATTAGTTGAATAAAGCATATCTTTTTTTAAAAAATTTAAATGATACAGAGAGATGGGGTTTATTAGTACTGATCTAAACTAACTAACTGAAAAATACTTGCGCTATTAAACCATACCTTGTGCATAAGAAAAAGGAGGGTCCACCAGCATTTTTTCAGTTGGCAAGGTGTCCTTCAAATCCTGGGATAGATGTGTTTCCATCATCTCAAAAGTACCCGTAGATGAAGAGGAGGAGGATGATAATCCTAGTCCTACAAATCTTCCTTTCTTACCACAAAGCAAGCAGTCTACGGGAGTAGCGCTAGGTCCTCGTGGCAGCTGCACTTCTGCTTTGTTGTAGCTTCTCACAGCTCCACTGTGGTGCATAGAGCGTTCTCGCTGCCATATGTAATGTGTTGGGGCAATAGCCATGACCTACCAGAATAGCCATTCATCAGAAACCATCAAAACAGCTGGCAAACACAGAGCTGAAAACAAGGGATCCAATTCATTTGTGGCACAGAATTAAGGACAGTTGAGGTGATGATAGATAATAGATATCCATTATCTACTAGCTTCTGTCTTGCTAGAAGGTTTGCTACCCTAGGCAAGGTTAACTGAACCAGTTATGACCACATGTTGAAACATTACAGTTTACAGCCTTGTATGTTCACGTAAGCCATCACAAATAGCAGTTTATGCCTAGTATGCTGTTCTGAAGATGATGTCTTTTGTGGATTATTAATTGTGGTCCAGATGCTGGCTCACAAGCCTCTAAAGCAATCTCAGAATTACAGAATGATCATCATAATCCTCCCGTGATCGCTGGAAGAGTGTGCTGGGCATACGCTTGCCTCCTCCCTTGTATTTTTTCCATATGCATCTAATCCCATGCCCAGAGATGGGATGCTGGAGTAAATGATATTTTTTTGCCATGAATGGTAGTCCACATTACATTCTTAAAACAGAACAGAGCTACTCCAGATAGAAATACTCCATCTGAAAATTGAGGAGTGTCTTTTTCCCATGTTACGTTTGAAAAAAATGTAGCCTATAACAATGCATATAATTGCAGGAGAATGTTGAGAATATCAGAAGTTTGTCCTTTGGCTTTTTTTTTTTTTTTTTATGAAATGCACTGAAAAATCATTACCTTACAAAGTAAAGCGAAGTTACACTATTAATTCTAATAGGATTAAAATCTAACCTGAGGTGATAGATATTTTATTTGAAGATTTTATTTCATGTACTTTTTTATTTGTAAAGCAGACACAATAAAATATTTGTAAGGTGAATTAAGTCAAGCAGCCAATGGTAAGTTTTGAATAAAAATATTTGCATAAAACAGAAGAATTCTCTCAATAGAAAGTTTACTTTTAACAGTAGCACAATGTAAAACTAGTTTACCCTAAAAGTAGAGTTTCAAAGACTGTAGTTTGAATACAGAACTTTGCAAGAAGCGTGTCATGACATTTTAGATGCCTCTTTTGTTTCCCATAGCTTAGCTACACATTGTAGAGAAGAAATTATTTCTATGGAGCTAGACTATAAGTTGGGATCAATTATTGTAGCTGCAGTATCTACAATGTTAAAACCCTCCCTACCTCTTCACAGCAACGTCTGCTTACAATAGCCCTGTAGTCAATTCTACTCCACAGTTCATCTCTTAACTTTAAGAAATCAGGGAAGAGTTTTCTCCATGTTTTTCCCAAAGCCCATGGGAAAATGTCATACTTTGATTCTTCATCATCTTCTTCAACTGTATTTGCCAGATACCTTCAAACATATATATGTTTGTGTCTGTAAGTATTATTAATTCTTGAATTGTTATATTAGTATTATTTTAACATTAAATACATTAAAATTATTAAAGTATTTCTTTTTCCTAATACTGTGAGAAAAATTCCTAACAAAAACACAGCCTTTTCTCTCTTAGGAAGCCCAATCTGTATCCTTTAAGTTAATATAAACTTATATGAAAAATTAGGCTAAAGCTGGCTAAATGAGTAGGTATATAAAAAGTAACATATCCTAGCAGCTTTCTCCAAACTAGATATCCTTGCGTTGTAATAAGCAGTTTCTGACTGATCTTCTAAGAAAATCTTAAAACTATTTTCTACAATTTTAAACTTTACATCTTCTGCTTACTGATTTTAGCTATTCTCACAAGATCATGTTTCTTACATTAAATTGGCAGCAAACAACTGAATATAGGTCAACCTTCATAAAAAATAAAAAATTCTAACATTTTCTAACATTCATAATTCTTTATTCCTTCACTATGGGCCACTTTTGCTTCTTGGTCTTCTCCTCAGTTAACAGGAAAACATAAAGTCACCTGATTCTGAAGTCCTACAAATCATACCAGAAAAAAATTATAACTTTTGGGTTCCTCCCCATTTTTCTCACTTGCTCTTAATCCCAATCTTCTCTCTGGTCCCAGTCTCACTAGACTCCTTTTCCCTTTGTAATCCTCTCTTTCTCCCCTCTGCTCTGGCTTTTGTCCCTTTTCCTTAGAGAAGTCAAATGGCTTCATCCTCAGTGCTCTGCGGATGCTCTCGGGAATGGCATTTATCAGAAGAAACAGCCTATCTTTCTCCCTGCACTAGTGTTCCAGCCGCTCTTACAAAAACACTATACTGTGAAAGAAGGCGGTGGATCACTCTGTAGGCATGACACAGATATGGGTACAGCACACAGGCTTGGTAAAGACAGATTCCTACTTGCACATTTGTTTAAAAACTTAGGAATTTTAGAATAGTCCAGAAGAAAAGAAGTCCTCAGAAATTTTCAATCTCTATTGTTTAAAGTTAACTGAAAAATGTTGATTTTTTTTTTCTCAGAGTTATTGCTAGGGTGCACATCATAACATTATTTCAATATATGTGACTAAAAATCTGGCAAAAATATAAATGGGTTTTATAATAGGAAATGGGAGCCATAATATGCTGCCTGCCATGCATTGTCCTACACAGATTCTTTTTTTTTCAATGCTTTGAAAAGTCTGCAGTTTTTACAATTCTGTAGACAGAAGTTCCCTCTATTTATTACACACAAATGCAGATTTCCCCTCATTCAAGCTGCTCAAGCGTGTTCCACTATCACAAGATAAATCTCTGATTTCCTCTATTTGTATATAATGTGTAGATTATATTTCTGTGCCTACATAGAACCCAATCAACTACA